TAGAATGTCTTTTCGGTATAGAAAATGTGGACGCAGTTTGATTTTTGCAACTTTCTTTATATTTAAGGAATAACATAAAAACTAAAATGTTTCTCTCCCTGTTTGAAAAATCGGAAGAGATTTTTTTTACATGGAAGTACATTCCTCCCCTTAATTTTCAGCTTCATGCGTATTCCTTTACATCCAATGTACAAATTGTCCAGAAGAGAATGGGCCCCACTTCAAGGGTAACTTTCTTAGGCGAAAATAAATCGATTTGGATCAAGTCACCTTAGTACCATTTTGCTTGCTTAAAATGTTATCAGCCATAAAAAAATACATTTCTTTTTTTTTCGTCAGTTTTAAAGAGATTTCAATGAAATTTAACATGACAAGGTTTCTGTGGTAGCCGAATATAAATATGAACTTATTTTTTACCTCAAATATAGAGATCGTTAAGAACATCTGAAACAGTCTTTTGTTTTTTGCCATATTACTTTTATTGGTATTAACACATTTACCTTTTTTTACCAGCATTTTAGAAGGTATGAGTTAGAAACAATATTTCTTCACAGTATACTAGTTATATAAATTTTCTTCAGGGTATAAGACAACTGACAATACATTCAAAATAAGGAGAAAAGCTTATTTTTTGGCTACAATTTCTTAAAGCGTCAGTTCTCTATACTATTATCATAGTCATTGAAAACAAACAAAATAAAAATTTAATTTTACAAAAACTTCCATAATTCAATAACCAATTTCTCAAGTTTCCTGTACACAAAACATAATTTACTTTTTTTGAAATGTATTAATTATGTTAGAATTAAAAAACATAACCAACATGTTGTCATGCACACCTATCTGTATCTGCCGAAGATATTTACATTAGTGTCAGCTTCGATGTGTTCATAATGTTTAGAAATCAAAAAGCTAACTTCTCAATTTTCAACTGGTGTAGTGTTACTTCAGTTTGTAAGCCTATTACTGAAGACTCTCGTTTCGGGAGAGGTAACAAATTGTAAGTTTAACTCATACCGATCCTCCTCTAGTAGAAAAAAGACGCCTCGCAGATGTATGTTAATTACTTAATGTTCAGCCCCTGGAAAAAAAATATGATCCTGATTGGGTGTCTATTTTGTCTCCGATTCGTCGAAGTGACACAGAACTTTTTTCGATTAGAAAAAAATCGTTAAATTAATTTAAAACGTAATAACCTTACTCTGTTTAGACGTGTTTTGTTAGTTATTCCGAAATCGGATACAGCGTTGTAATTTTAAACTGATACATTGAGAAAATGATTGATATCAGGGTATTAAGAGATTTAGACATGAAAGTGGTACCGAAAGATGTTGATTAAACCTTAATAGAAACGTTGGAATAGATAATATCGGATCAATTAAAAAATTTTGCTTATCTTTTGCATATCGCCTTATAGAAAATAATTTTTAATGATAAAATCTACTTGTTTGAATGTAAATTAGGAGTCTTATCGGTCTGATCTTCTAGGAACGAGTTCTCTTTGATTAATATTTATTTTCGTAAAGTTTTTTGGAAATACATTTAGAAATACATACAAGTGCTATGCATAAATCAAATTTTAAGCAAGGATTTTTGTAAAACAGAAAGAATTTTTATATCCAGAGGATGTAAACATTAAAAACATTTCGTGTATAGTATGTCATAAATGATTACAAACCACGTGATCAATAATTTTATAACTGAACTTTTGATACATTATATTGTAGTCAGTTTACTACTAGCTAGTTGCAGGATTATTTGCAACGTTCTCCAAAAGTGAGTCTTCAAGAGATCCATGATCCCGAAGTTCCTGAACAACATCAACAAATTGTATGATATGATACAAGAAACAATCCTTATAAATCCTACGGACTTTAGAAGTGATCCCATCGACCACCATAAGCTAAAATGATATCAGTGTATTCTCTAGCAAGACCTAATGATGCACAATCACAACTGTTAATACCTTGTCTGACTTTTTACAGACGACACATAGTCTAGTAAAATTTTTTGATGACTTAAATAATGATTGAGTTAATTCTTCTGGTTCGGTGCATATTATAAAGAAGGCAGACATCTGTTGTAGAATTCTATGATGCCATTAAAAGCTTTGGCCTTCTTCAGGAATGTGACATATGTCAATAATACGAGGTATGCAGAAGGTTTTAGACAAATTTTCCGTTTTATTTCAGAAAAATAGACAAGACTAATAATGTTATAAAATTGCAGCTAGCATTTAGAAAATGGTTTTGGAAAAAAGGTCACTACAAATTGACAGACTGACAGACCATCAAAGAAAAGGACGATGTTTTCCCATATAGAAGATGCCTTTTGTGAGATAAAGGGCGTCAAATGATTTTATTCTAACTTTATACAGGGTGATTCACAACTTATCCTAAAAATTGAGTTAATATCGTAAAAAAAAATTGTAAAATCCTTATAGTTTCCGAGAAAAATATTATTGAAGTTGTGGTATTTTCAACTTACATCACTGGGCTACTGCAGTCTCTAGCGTCATTTGTTCCACATACCGAAATCCGATTTTAGTATTAACGTTTTTGCAATAGCGTTTACTTTAGTTTTTCAAGTGTCAAAATGGCTTATGTGTATTGCAACTCGGAATTGATGGATATCGTTTTAATTTGTTATGAAGCAAGACAACATTTGTGTAATGGCGAAACAAGAAACATTTGTATTAGTTTGTAGAAACTGGGTAAAACGGGCCCAAATATATTTACATGTCGGTGGACAAAATTTTGAACAGTTGTTGTAACATCAAGTAGGTATGTCAAATTATTATATTAATTAAAACCGCAAATTAATTTTATTAATTAATAATAACAATAGCGGCAAAAGCAGTTGAATTTGCTGATATAAAATAGCTGCTATAAAATTTTATTTATCTCTTTCCTTGAGACAGAATTCTTTCAATTTTTTTAAGTGTCCTTTTTGATTTTTTTACAAAATTGTGTTTGTACGAGTCCCTGTACCTACATAAAAATTTTTTTTTGGATAAGTTCCGAGTCACCCTGTATATTTTCCGGAAAGCAATACACACAGTATAGATATAATTTTAAGGGTGCTAAACACTTCTGTGTTATTAGTTTTGACCATCTGCTAGAGGGCGCCAGTTACGACCTTACGCAGTGACATTTAATAACAACTTTTTTGAGGTTAGGTTTTATTAAACATGTCATTTACTATGTCAAAATTTATTTTACTTAATAAAAAGCAAATACTCTTGCTGGAATCGCATCGTTTGTGAAAAAAACGCATTTGACTGTCCTAGAGTCAAGACCAGCTACTCAGTAATATACTGTGTATCCGAAAATGAAAAGGATTCCGATTTAGACCAAGTTATCTCAGTACAATTTTATTTCTTTCAAATGTGATATTAGAATTACTTAAATTGGAGTAAAAAAATATTTTTGGAAACCTATAACTCTTTAACTCTTCACTATGTAATAAGCATGAATATAAAGAAAGTTTAGAAGGATTTGTCACTCTTTTTATAAGACTTGTTGAACTTATTATACGTGGTAAATACTATGTTCCCTTCCAAACATCTAGCCTTTATTATTTCACTTCTTCAACATTTTTGTTTCTTCCTTCTAAATATTGAATAAATTTTTATAAATCTTTTTTATATTAAGGTATATTTGATCCCCTCTCTTATTTCTAACGTTTCACATCTTCTAAGTCCTTCTTGATTTACTTCTGTTCCTTCTTATTAATGATTCTTCTTTATTTCTTCCAATCGCGGTTGTTAGTCATTTGTTCAACATAAACATATGATAAAAAGGAAAGAATCAACGTAGTGAGAAATTGGTGTTTTTAAGAATATATTTGTATTTTTACTTTAAAAACTATGTTTCGTAGTAGCCATAGGGGTCAATTTCTAAACTGTCCTCGAAGCTCTTACCCGAGATTCGTCTTCGTGTCTAAATTAAGGGAATGCAATAGCTCGTATACTTATAAAGCATGGAAATGAAAGAGAAAGAAAATGAGAGCGGGAACATTGTCTAAAACATACGAATTGGCAGGAAACAGTCCAATATCGATAGTTGATTCTTGCTATGTCTCTCTTTATGAGCAGTATCGATTGCAATATTTATATTGAGCATTTAAATGTCCAGATTTATGCGATTTTGGCACTCTATTGTACAGTATGTTAATAAGTTATTTAATATCAGCAAAGCATATCTTTCCAGTTATAAAAATCACCTCTTTTCATCAAATTTAAGGTAAAATCATGAGTGATCAAATAAAATTTGTATTTCATTTAACTCTAATACATCTCTTCTACTGCCATAACCAAATAATGACAAATACTGAAATTTTGTCTAATTAAAGACAATAAATCCATATTTCTGGTTCAGATATGTGAAATAAATACGAAACATTGCGTAATTTTAAGAACATCAACCTAGTTTTCCGAGCATAATGAAAGAGAATTCCTTGCAAATACAATATAGGGTTCCTGTAACGTCAAATCTAATTATGTCTAACTCTTGATGACCTCACTATTAAGATTTGAAACATATTTTTTGCTGTACCACATTTACTGATCCATCAAGCTCCCAGCTGCCTTCACGAACCCCAGGGGGTCCATCTAGCAAAATCCGTTTCGGGAAACGGCCCAAACCAATACCCCGCCCATCCAAACGTTACCCATCGCCCATGAGAAGTCACGGGAGACCGCTTCTTGATAAAAGGACGTAACGTTTATCTCGACACCCAAAAAACCAACCATCTCGTTTTACCCAGTTACCAAGAGCAACGCATCCACAAGACATGATATCTACGGCGCGGATAACAACAAATTAGCACTTCTCGGCGGTGAGCACTCGAAACGTGCTGGTCGGAAGGCAGCGCTCGCATTGGTTGGACGCTGAAGACACGCCCATGCCGCCTTGGATACCTACTAGGCGGTGCCGCCGCCCAGCGATCTAATATAGGAAAGCCGGGAAGTGGTCTGGTTTGGACAGTCGCGATCGAGAGCGTGTTGCGTGTTTTTGTATAGGTCGAGTGTTGCATATTGGGTTCCTCCGATCGCTCTCAAGAAGCGTACATTGGGGTAGCAGGCGCGGGATCAAGCTGTGCGTTGTTGTTGTGGATAATCTGTGTTTATTTTGTGACAGTGAGTGTTCTGGATTTTGTTACTGTGGTAAGTAGACTTTTTTTTAAGATGGGGATAAGATTTCACACTGCTCGTGTACTGGCAGAAGGATCGTCTTCCTAGGTTGCAATATTAAGTCTTGAAGATAATCATTTGGTGTCAGTTAAAGATATTTGCGTCGTTAAGAAAGCATATTGCTAGTTTTCGGCTATCTTTTGATTCATAGAAGCACGTTCTTTGATTCATCAACGATGACAGTTTCTATTAAACAGCGAACTGTGTCAGAATTATGCTTTTATGTGACCATTACCAAGGAATTTTCTGTGGGTGCTAGCACATTCCTAATTTTTTCAAACGAACTTGCCTAATTGATAATTAAGAAGGAATTTGTGGCTCCGTTTTGCATAGACAATGGGCGTTATTAGACTGATCAGCCAAATACCTAATTAAAATGCTAATTAATTAATTTATAACAATCTTTTTGGCTACATATTTGATGTGGCATTGATTTTTTGTACCGAATTAATTAATTGGCAGCCTGTGCGTTTAACACTTATTAAATAAAAGTTTTTCGCTTTGTTTACCAATGACGGCATTAAAAACTAATATTTCTTCTCATTTATATACATTTAGTATTTACTTTTCAGTATTCAATTAACAGTTTTTTTTTTACTTTGTGTGATCCGTCGGGAGAACAATAGGTACTGGAAAAGGCATTTAAAATTGATTGTAATCAGTTTAAACTTTAACAAGTATTGCTAGAAATGACAAAAGTATTCAAATATTAAGTGTCAAATCAACAAATATCGTCTCTTCTGTATTGTTGAATTAGTGATTAGGTATTGGTCGTAATTTAATGGAATGAGTGCATGATTTTCTATTCCATCATATCTAGAATTGCCTCTTCCTCATCAGCAGTCATTGCCAAAGGTCGCCCATGTCTTTGTAATGGCTTAAACGTATCACACTTTCTGAAAGAAAAGAAAAGGGCAGCAAAAAGTATGTAACTTGTCTATAGTTTGGATATACCTAATTCTTCACACCTCCTTTTAACTACCCGTCCACTAAATCTCTGCTCCATATGGCAACAATCAAATCTCATTTCTACATTTTATAAAAATATGTTGAAAATCTTATCTATCACAGTTTTAAGGGTTTTAGAAGCAAATTGTTACTTAAACTGTTATAATAGGGTAATACAGGTGTTATAATAATAATGGTAAATGCGTAAATAACTTTGTGAGTCGGTCGAAAGGTCACTTTGATGGTAGAAATGTGTTACAGTACACCTCCTTTAACTATTCCTTAGGTTATTTTTTCTTATCCGGAAAAAATTATCTAATTTCCATCCCTCTTTCAGACAAGTAACTTTGGCGGTGAAATTTGGTTTTAGTACAATCATAGACAGTAAAATTGTTATAAATTTGTTTTTACTAATTCAGTTTTAGGGGCTAACTTCACTCAATTTTGATAATAGTCTTCTTGTACATACTTTAAACTCATGCTGAATCCTGCAATCGCTTCAAAGTGTAGAAACAATTATTCACTCAATCAGCTTTATTTTCTGTACCAGTTCAGCTTTGCAAAATTTTTTTCTCAATTTACTTTGAGTAGAAACGTAGTGATGCCAGTCCAAAGAATTTCTTCCGTCGGACAGCGGATAAACTGGCCAGTCTAATTTATTCCGGTCTATTATTAGATTTTTAAAAATAAACCGCACATACCTACTCAAAAGATACCTATATCTTAAAAATAGACTAGGTACTACAGGCGGTTCCTTCAAAACGCGTTGTAAAATAAGGCGGTACATAGGTATTTAATTTTTCTGTTGAAATATAAACAATCAAAATCAAATTTTCAATTCAATCAAAATTTAACTTCTTGGTTGTAGGTAGGTATTTATTAGGAATATAACCTCAGAACTTTGAAAACAAAATAGAACAGGAAAAAGAAAGGCTTAGCCGCTGTCTACCTTTTGAAATTATCGACCTTTAGTTACTTCTGTCAATAAAATTTTTATAATAAAGTTTAGTAAAGTTGAAGCAAATCTAAGACAATATCGAACGCTAAAGAAGAAAAAAGGTTTTTTAGGGTATGCTTGCAATGAAAATCAAGAATTAGATTTATTATTAACTAGGTAGATTAATTTTTTTGTTAACACGCAAAAAATGTAAAGACGTACTTAGGATACGATACATAGATACGATAGATGATGATGAAATTACAAGACATGTTCGATATACTCGCCATTTTCTTGTATGCATGGCTTGAAATTAAATTGAGTCCTTCTCAACATTTCTGGATCATTCCGTATTACGTCCCCTCGTCAAAAGTTTGACAATTCATTTATTATAAAATGATATCATCGCTATCTACGATAGTAGTGATTGTAGTGAGTAGTTGTTGTACTTGAGTGGTTGATAATAATGATTGTCTAAAATTGAAAACATTTTTTTGCGTAAAAACTATGAATACTACAAGATTTTACTAAGAGCACGAAAATCTCGAAAAAGGACTGATGCATGAATAAAAATAATGAATTGATTCCAGCAACCAAATAAAAGGTTCTGGTAATTCTTGCACCAAAGCACTCAAGAATTTACCACTAGCCCGAGGTGGATAGACGCGGTTGCCTCATCGAAACACGAGTTTTACTTAGAAACATGTCCACAGTAAGTTTCATTAAAATCCATAGTAACATTCTCCAGATATTACAAAAAACATAATTTTTTTCAAGAACTTTGACAATCAATAGCAGAGGAGTTAGACATTTTTTCTTAATGGAAGTTACGTCAGATTTATTTACGTCTTTTGAGCCAAAACATGTCGCAGTACCTTTTTGATCATGTGCGTATGGGACACCCTGTACAGCTTTAGTACCTAAGTATCAAAATATAAAGACAAAGTACATAGATTTGCTCCAAATTCTAAAGAAATATGATTACCTATCCATGCAAAATATAAAGACATTTTGTTAAGATATTTTATATGGAATACATGGAAGTGGAAGTACTACTACTACAACAAATATTACATTGCGACGTTTCATCCTTAATTACAACAAAACCACTAGTCCAGTAATTGAAGGTAAAATACTGTATAATATTCCCAGACAGCACCGATTTGCACCAAAATTAGGATTTAGGTGCTACTTCAAAGTTGACCCTGTGCCGGGGGTTGCTTTTTATTTTTTAGTGGTGAAAACTGCCCCTATTCGAAAATAATAGAATTGCAGATTCGAGCGTGTAATAGGTTGAAATCATCTTTAAATAAGTAACTATGATGAATTGAAAATTGTCAATCCTTCAAAACTAATATATTAAAATATTCAGCAACTTGGAATAATTTAATCATATAGTGATTTTAAATTAGGATTTCTTTACTGTTTTAATTTTTTATTATTTATTTATAAGTTTCTACCCTTATAAAAACCACTCCTTGCAAAAAAAATCGAACAATAATTATATTTAAAAAAAAATTGTTTAGCTCAAAATATAATACAATATTTTTATTCTTTAAAATGTAATGTATTTATTTTATCAAGCCTTAAAAAACCATACTGATTAAAATTTGCAATCAGAAATAGGGAAAATAAGAATTTTATTGTTATATGAATTTTAATTTTTTTATTTTTGTAAGAAATATTTTTTTATTGCAAGTAACATAAATAATCAAAAATCATCTTCACTCTCGTCTTCCTTTTCTATTCTATTCCTAAAATTCCTATTTCTATTTCTAAAATATAGCTATAATGTGTATTCATCAATGCTCAGATATACGTTTTCTGATATCTGCAAAAATATGTGATTGGTTTTTTACCCATAACTCGCTTAGTTTTTATGCTATCAATCCCTTCAAAAAAACAATTTTTTAAGGCCTATAAGATCAAATAAGTTAAATTTTCCTTCAGCCCTTATTTTTGTAATGGTTTGAGCTGAAAGGGTTTGAACAAGTTGCTATTTACGAACATATGCAAACTTTAAACAGCCATATCTTACTTAATTTTTATCCTACAGAAAAAAAAAACAAAATTTTCAAAACAGCCAAATCTACAATTTTGTACTCTACAAAATTTTGCGTATCATTAATAGTTTTTGAGTTATTTTGAAGAAAAGACATTTTTTTCTAAAAATAAAAAAATCTCTTTTCTGAAGCTCAACTTTTTTCAAAACTAAGCACTTTGAACCGGTCAAACTTCTATAGCATATTTCAAGTAGTACATAAATAAAGTAAATTGTAAAGTAGTAACTATTATTTTCAATTGGAGTGGTAATTAGGGGGTGATTTTCACGTTTTTTGTGGCCGAGAAAAATACGGACCAACTTTATTTTCGTCATAACTCGCTTAGGTTTGATGCTAGGGACTGTTATAAAAAATAAAAATAAAGGTTCTTTCAAGCACTTTAAAAAAGGTTCTATGAGTAGGTATTCCTTGAAAAATGCATTGTTTTTTGGATATTTCACGTTGAAACTTTCAATTTTGGCGATTGACGAATAAGAATCAACCTTCAACAAGCTGTTACTCCGCTTGTATTGGGTCTACAGACATCACATATACACCATTCTTTTTGTCTTTTTATAAGCTACATTTTTATAACAATGTTTTTTTTGATAAAATACTTACTTTTTGAGTTATTCCCGAAAAGCCGTCTGAAGTGTTTTTTTTTTTTTGTTAAAAAATTTACACTTTCACTCGCGAATAAGTCGAAAAGTATTGACTTTCAGAAAAAGCTTTATAGAACAAAAGTTGCTTAGAATTAGTCAATATATCTATTCCCGGAGTTACCTATTTTCAATGAAACATTGTTCACCCCCGAGAAGGGGTGGCATCCACCCCCAAGGTAAAAGCAACCTCCAGTCCTCCAGTCAACTTTGAAATAGAGGTTAAGTAGAACCTAAATCCAAATTTTTATTATAAATCGGCGCGGTTTGGCGAAATTATACGGGAAAATGATCATAGACTGGACTACACTGCTTTTCTCCAATTTCGTTACGCCTAATTTCGGAGTTGGCGTAAAACGAACGTACTCCCGCACCTACCCGCAATTC